CTTCCTTCTGGGCGCCGCAGCCCGCAGCCTCCAGCCGCCGGGAGGGTGAGTCTGCGCTGCGTCCTGTGTGCCCGGGCTCTCCAGACCCAGGAGGCTCCTGCAGTGTCCCGCCGGTCTCAGGAGACCGAGAAGCTGCGGGAAGCGAGTCCCGCCTCACGCCCTCCGGATCCGCGTCGCGCTGCTCCCGGTGACCGTGGAGCGGAGTGTCCGAGCTGCGCCCCGAGGCAATGGGCCGTGTCGGACCGAGCTGTAACTGAGGCGGCGAGCGCCGGAGGGCGACCGGCGCCTCCGCCCGCCTCAGCCTCCGCCCGCCTCAGCCTACCGCCGCTTCAGCCTCCGCCCGCCTCAGCCTGCCGCCCGCCTCAGCCTGCTGCCCGCAGCCGCCCCCGCCGCCTCCGCCTTCCGCCCGCCTCAGCCTACCGCCGCTTCAGCCTCCGCCTGCCTCAGCCTCCGCCCGCCTCAGCCTACCGCCGCCTCAGCCTCCGCCTGCCTCAGCCTCCGCCCGCCTCAGCCTCCGCCCGCCTCAGCCTCCGCCCGCCTCAGCCTCCGCCCGCCTCAGCCTCCGCCCGCCTCAGCCTGCTGCCCGCAGCCGCCCCCGCCGCCTCTACGGCCGGCCCCAGGCTGCCACCTGGAGCTGGGATTGGAGGCGAGAGGCCAGGCCCGGATCCAACTTCCCCTCTGGCTGCTCGGCCTGGCCCTGCCCCAGCCTTGCTGCCTTTCCTTGCTTGGCGTGAAGGTAGGGTCCGGTTTATGTCCCCTGAAAGTGTCGGTTGCGGTCTTAATCCCGGGTACCCGTAAGTGTGGCCTTACTTGGAAACAGGTTAATTGTAGGTGCAGTCACATCAGAGTAGGTGCGCCCCCCAATCCAGTTGGGAGAGGACTGACCTCGGGAGCCCAGTGTGTGCCCCGAATGTTACTGGCCCTGGGCTTGAGCCTACGGGGACAGCATCGGTGATGGGGGCAGGCAGAGGGCGTCCGGCCCAGATGACAGATTGGGGCGGCCCCGCTAAGCTTCATTCTGGCCGGGAAGGCCTTCCCCAGCTCTCCTTCGCCCTGGACTCCTGGCTCCAGAACTGTGAGAACATAAACGACAGCTGTCTTCAGCCCCCGGTGGTTCCCTTGTCCTGCAGCCCGAGGTGGATCAAGACCCGAACCCCTAAGGACCAGGGACATGGCTCAGTAGAATGAGCACTTCCCTGGCAAGCGCAAGGGTCTGAGTTCAAACCCTAGTTCGGCCAAAAAAAAAAAAGCACCCGAACCTTCATTGCCGGCTTCTGTCCTCCCCCTCCTGCCTCCCAGGGAGGGAGGTGGTCACAGAGCCTCCTTGCAAACCACTCCCCCCCAAACTGAAGTTCCTTTTTCCACCACGCCAAAGTTCCCTTATGCCACTCAGGCACCTACACCCTCATCCCAAGTAGCCACCTAGACTCTGTGTCGCTGAGCCTCATCTCCCACTCATGGCACCCTGTGAGGCCTGAACCATGGGCTTGTTAGTAGTTTCTAGTATTTTACGCTAAGGAATGACACCCACCAGCTCCAGTCACTGATGTGCAACCACACAGGGCAGCTGTGACAGCGCAGCCACCGCCATGTTCCTGGCCACTGGGATTCCTGATTCCTGTGCTTGCCATGGCCAGATTAAAGGCAGCTATATATTTCTGTAGATGAACAAAGGACCCACAGCCAGCTCCTCCAAGGAGGAGCCCAGTCAGCCTCTGTCTCCCCATGTACAGGTGGGTGAGGGGCCTCTACAGTAAAGGGCAGCAGGGAGATCCAGTGCAGAGGCCCATGTCTCTGTTCCGGCTTCCAGCATCTTTGGCTCCATGTCACCTTCCTGAGGAAAGGAAGTGCGGCACCTGCTTGTTTTGCCACTGCCTCTGGACTGAGGAGTGGATCCTGGTTATGGAGGAAGCTGGAGAAGTCGCTTATTTGTAGAAGAATTTTTTTTTTTTTTTGGCAGAACCGGGGATTGAACTCAGATTCTTGTGTTTGCCAGTCAAGCACTTATCCTACTGAGCCATCTCCCCGGTCCAAGAATTTCATTTTGAAAGTTCCACTTGGCACTGTGATTTTGTACTCCTCCCCCTTGCTTCCCTCTGGCCCTCACTTTTTTTTTTTTTTTTTTTTTTTACAGGACTCATTAAAGTCTTTATGCTTTTCTTTACAGTACTGGGATTAAACCCAAGGCCTCCCACATGCTAAGCCCCACCACTT